TTTTTTTTTAAAAAATTTAATATCATATTATAATTATAAATTTATAAATTTATCTGACATTATAACTATAATATTACAGACAACCAATCTCAACACCTTGAGGTGCCACTGGGACTGTGCTTGAAGTGTTGTTTTTTTTTTTTCACTTTGAAATTAGATATTGAATCTAAACTTAAATGGGGCACTAATAACTTTACCGCCAAATTAGATAGTTGATTGTGCAGTTGGGGTGTTTTCGTATGGCACTTTAGTTCCACCCCTCTCATTTGGTTTGTTTCTCTAACCAAACAGGTAGTAAAAGAACGGAAACGCACCGTTTTATTTTACGTCATTTCTATCTCACTCCGGCCATCGCTGTTTTGCGCGCCCTTTCGCAGGCAGCGACGGGGCACACCGCAGACGAAGAGTATTTATGTCGTTGATTTGATTTATTTAGCTGAGATTGCTCTAATTCACTTAAAAACATCACTAGAAAACCTTAATTCGCGGTATCGGTATACCGAGCAAATGCCGCCCAAAGTGGATAAACATCCCGTCGATGTTGTTGACATCGCTACCAGCGACGATGAAGATGGTCCCCGAATCGCTTCCGCGAAGAAAGGATCCTCAAGCGCACCGCCGTCAGCGCAAAGAAGACCGACCTCAGTGGCACCCCCGACGACGACGACAGTACCGACCAATGAAACCCTAGAGTGCCGAAGTTTCTGGAAGGCAGGGGGTTATGCTGTCTCTGTCGCCACAAGACCCACTGTCGACCAAGGTCTCCTTTCATACTCCTTGTTCTTTCTTGTTATGTAAGTGCATTTACTTTTGTTTGTATTTTAAGTTGGTTGAGCTGTTTTTCTGCGAGCTATTTAGGGAATTTGGAGCATGCTCGAGTTCATCCTAAGTTTCTTCACTCTAATGCAACCTCGCATAAGTGGGCTTTTGGAGGTAACTGGAATTCAACCATCTGAACTTGAGAATTTGGGTCCGTTATTTATTTCCATTTAACTAGCACATAGTCTATCTGAGAGTGCTCGGTTAACTATAAGATTAATATTGCACTGTAAATTTAGTTATTTAATTGTCCCCTTGATTGCAGCAATTGCTGAGCTCTTGGATAATGCTGTTGACGAGGTAGCGTCTTGCTGACTTGTTATTTTTGTTGAATTTCAATTGAGAAGTATGTACTTGTTATCTAGAACTGACATGGTTGAATTGGTTCCCTTTTTCATTTTTAATGTTGCAAGTGATGCTTAGCTCCGGTCAGCATGTTGCTTGCAAATTGCTAATGTAAACGAGTCTAGTATTTCTTTTCATTTTGTATCATAAAGGATCGTTTCGAATGTTGAGGTTGCTGCTGTTGGCGCATGCATTTGCTGAAAACAAAAATTAAATGTACCTTGGGGATGTTTTGGTGCATGTTCTCTCAGTTGTTGAAAGGACTAAGGTGGTTTAGTGAGCATAAGCTAAAACTTTAAAGTGTACTTTGAGGACCTCTCTCTATATCAGATTATTTTGTTCTGCTACATTTCCATCCAAAATAATTAGGGATTTTGGTTTTTATTCTGGGAAGAAGGGCGATATTCTTTTGGTAATTTGGTTCAACTGTTTTTTTATGTTTGCTTCTGTTATCAGATACACCATGGTGCAACTTTTGTAAAGGTTGATAAAATTGATATTGTGAAGGATAATTCTCCAGCTTTACTTTTCCAAGGAAGGGTATCTGTCTTTGTTTCTTTTCAATCTTAAAAGGATGGTATCTTGTTTCATACTTTAGTTCTTGGTTACAAATGTAATATTTAACACTTCTGATCTGATTTTCATGCAGATGATGGTGGTGGAATGGATCCTGAATCTCTCCGGAAATGTATGAGCTTGGGTTATTCTTCGAAGAAAGCAAACACAACAATTGGACAATGTAATTATGAAGATATTTCTTTCATTTTTTAGATGAATATAGTAATTCATCTCTCATTTGATAACTTATAATTGCAGACTTTGAGTTTCTTGTAACTGCTAGTCTGCTAAACATATATGCTGTCATGCTAATTGGCTAAAACTATGATTATTCTGAGGTTCAGTAGTGAGACAATTATGCCTTGAATTCTTCTTCTCTTGTGCCTTAAAATGTTTGGTTTAGTTTTTTTGAAAATTGTACTTTAGGAATTCCTGAGAAACGTTGCTGGCATGCTATAATCAGTATAAACTATTATTGATGAGGTTCAAGGGAAGATAAACATGCCTAAATCTCTACCTTTTGTTGCCTCTGATATTTAGTTTCCTTTCCTCAAAGATGGTCTATGGTGCACTTGTGTTTCCAGATGGCAATGGATTCAAGACAAGTACCATGAGACTAGGTGCTGATGCCATTGTTTTTAGTCGTGCAATTCGTGCAAGGTATCATTTTTCTCTGTTTTCTTACATGCAAAGGCTTGAATTTGAACAATGGTTTTTTTATTACATGCAAAGGCATTTCTTAAGTTTAGTATTCTATGATTTTTTTGCCTCCCTGTTATATCCTCAGCAAAGCAACACAGAGTGTGGGTCTTCTATCTTATACATTTCTGCGGAAAACTGGGCAGGATGATGTGATTGTTCCAATGGTACTTCATGGTTATACTTACTATTTGGAAATTGGAAGTTTCTTTTCTTTTCTGTCTTTTCTTCTTTGAGGGGTGGTGGGTTTAAGGATAAGCTATTTGTTTTTGTTTCCACACTTAGTTCTTTTCTGGTTTCCTTCTTGCTTGTAGATTGATTTTGACGTTTCTGGTCATTGGGTGGAACCAATAATTTATGGCTCACGGGAAGATTGGTACTCTAACTTGAAAACCATCCTCGAATGGTCACCCTTTGCTTCAAAGGAGGAGTTGTTGCTTCAGGTGCTTCAGCTACTTTTCATTTATTGAACATATTATGTTCTTTTGGAATGGCTTTTCAAAAGCTTTGCCTAGGAATGTGTCGGATACATTGTTCTGAAGTCCTTGGTTACGGACATGCATGCATGTGTATGTGTGTATGTATATACACACATCCACACACACGCACATTTGTATGTAGATATCTATGTGTCTAAGTGTCTAATATATGAGTTTCACATTGAAGATATGACTTGAAAATACTAATATTTCTTTTGAAACAGATGCAAATTGCTCTTGCAGAAAAGTCACTTTTTCTTATTCTCATAGGAGAGTTATTACATCAGTCTGTGTTTACTCATGCTTGTATTTTATCTTATCCTTAAAATTTTCTAATTGCAATACCAATAAATATCTTGTCATTGTGGTTGCTAATAGGTCCTGTGCTCTTGCTCTTTGTTGAATTCTATTTTATTTGTTTGGGTTCTTGTGACAAGAAATACTCTGGTCAAATTGACAGAAAATATTTTGTGTTTGAAATTATTTGATGAGGAACCGGTGGTGTTCATAATGGATTAGAAATATGAAGGCAAGATTGATGCTGTTCCTATTATGTATTGAACTATTCAATTAGACTTCATCCTTCAAGCTACCATGCTGGGTGCTGCCAGAAAAACATAATTTGAAATATTACAAACAATTACGTGTCACTTTCTTGCTTTTGGCTGTTGGCTGTGCATTCTGTTCCCTAACTCTTTTCTTCGTCCTGGGTTTTGCTAGTTTGATGACATTGGACCTCATGGAACAAAAATAATTATCTACAACTTGTGGCTCAATGATGAAGGCATATATGAACTGAGTTTTGACGATGATGACGAGGTATGTTGCATTTTTTCATAGTCTGTGAGCTATTATCTAAGATGTTCTTGTTTGCATGTTTTTTCAGTGAGAATAATGGATCAAGGCCTCCACAAATATCTACCATGCAATCCATACCTAAGTCATTTCAGCTAATATGGTGTCAACTTATAATATTGTGCTATTTGTTCATGGGTTTTTCGGTTGTCTCTGCTGTCATACATTCAATCATGCAAATATATGATTAACTTGTAACTGTGTGGAATTAGGCTTGCAGGGAAGTCTAATGTGATTTTTTATGATATCTTCTCTATGTTACATACTGTTAACTATTCTTTGCTGGGCTTTGATTTAGGATATACAACTAAGAGATGAATCAAATTCTGGAGTTACCAAATTATATAAAAGAACAGTGGAACTCCACTCCCATATTTCTTACCGCATTCGCTATTCATTGAGGGTAACTTGTCAAGCTTGGACTCTTTAATTTTTGGTCATTTTTTTATTGTTGCTTGTTTGATTCATAAAAGTAATTCTGGCTTTTTCTCCTTTGATTCTTTTGCCCATCCCTAGGCATACGCTTCCATGTTGTACCTCAGAAAATTTAACAACTTCAAGATTATATTAAGGGGGAAGCCTGTGCAGCAGTTTAATATTGCTGATGAGTTAAAACATTCAAAAGTTGTGGCATACAAGCCCCAACTAGCAGCTGCATCAAAAGAGGTAAGATAGATGGTGCAAAGTTTTGCCATGCATTTATGCTTATTGGTACTTTGTGATACAGACTAATCAGAAAGAAAAATAGGAAATAGTTCATATATTCTGCACTTTATCTCTCTCTTTTGCACTTATACTTTTTGGTAGATTTTTGTCAAAGTTTTGACCTTGGACTTTTGTGCAACTTCAAAATTCATATTGATTTGTGGAACTGATGGATTCTCTCTTCCCCTCCCTAGGTTGTTGTGGAGACTACCATTGGTTTTATAAAAGAGGCACCTGCTCTTGGAGTTTGTGGATTTAACGTATACCACAAAAATCGCCTAATCAGGGTATGTTTTATCAGTCTGAAGTAGAAACTTAATCTCTCTTTCTTTCACTCTAAATATGCAAGTTTTTAAGTGTTAAGTTCTTGTTGAAACTTGACATTACAATAATGTGTAATTTGTGAAAGTTCAAAAGTGTCCTTGCCTTCTCAGAAACACAACATTTTTAACTTCTGGGATGGTTTGGTCAGTTAGATATAAGGTACAGATTATAATAGGACACTACATTATGTCAGTTGTTTGCAAAGTTTATCTGACTTCATTTTCGAAAAAAAATGACATCCGATCATGTTACTGATTTGGTGAGTCTATTCATATTCTTACAGCCTTTCTGGAAAGTCACCAGTGATGGTTCTTCAAAAGGGAATGGTGTCGTTGGTAATGTGATTTTTCTTTAGATTTATGCTGTGTGGTAGTCATCTTCTCAAAATATTGTTATTTATTGCTTTACTACATGTATCTTCAGGTGTTCTTGAAGCAAACTTTATTGAACCAGCACATGACAAGCAGGATTTTGAGAGGTCCTCACTGTTTGTCCGGCTGGAATTGCGGCTGAAACAAATGATAATGGACTACTGGTTTGTTCTATATTACCTTCCATGTAAACTGCAATCAAATTTTTTAATTGCAGAAATGATTTTTTTCAAGTGTGGTGTTTTTTCAGCACCTGGAAAGGAAGAGACGGGGTGGGGGGGTATTATCTGTTTTCTTACATTGGGTTTGTGTCTCCAAATACCATGTTCAACTCAATGATTATCTTCTGGGGAATACCTATGTGTCTGCCTGCCTCACTATGCCTTTAGTAATGGGAGAATTGTATTGGTTATTGGAGCTGTGGATCAATATGAAGGGCTAGTTTGGTACATCTAACATGTATAAAAATCCTAAGCATTTTCTTCACAAGCTATTGTGACTGTTCCTGTGCATCATTTCTGTAGTTCTCAACTTCTTACTCTTGTAACAACTGGAAGGATCCTAAAGAGAATGGTTTTGCAACTGTTCTAGTTGAGATGAGGTTGCACTGCTGGATAATGTTTCAAATTGACCATTGATTGTGTTATATGTAGACCCTACAACAAGTATATCACAGATCCACAGTAGCTATTCTGTATCTGGGCATACCTCTTTTATCTTTTTCCTTGCTGAAATAGATTTGTTTATCTTTCTTTCTCAGTGAGAAACCATGAGCATCTTGAGTCTAAAGTGTTGTTATTTGATCAAGGAACGGTAAATAATGGTGAAGTCGAAATCATGGCACAAATACTTGTGAACATGAGTTCCAAGAGGATTTTCTTTTTCCTTTGGAAACTAAAAATTAAATTGCAAATGAAATTGAAGGACTTATAAGCTTCATTAATTATTTTCAAAAGAATAAGCTATATTAGTTATAGGACTTTCAACTTCTTAAATGTTTCTTGCACTGGATTAAAGTAATTGAGTGTTGAAGTGGTTTTGGCTTGGCTTATTTTGCAACAGGAAAAGCCACTGTCACTTGGTTGGACATCAGCCTCCACGTTCCAGCCTGCAAAATGCACAAATGGTACACACTGTTCAGCCTCCTCGTGGACCTGCAGGAAATATGCAGAAGCATTTGTCTGTTCATCAGCATAACACTGGCCACCCATCTAATATTCAAGAAGTTCACATGGACCAATCTATTGTTGGCCTCCCAGCAAATGTGCAGCAGAATTTGAGAAATGTGCCACCTGGATTTGAAGCTGTAAGTGATATGAGTTATTTTGCTTTATTTCCTTTCTGAATCATTTTCTCAAGTTGGGATATCTTGAAGTTATTGCAAAATAATAGAGGGGGTTGTCTATATGGATTAGGGACTTGCTCCATGGTAATTTGCAAGTTGCAAATTTGTCCCTTTTTCTTTCCTTTTTTTTTTTT